CCCGTTGGCTTTTCCACAACCACTTAACTTGGACAGTTCCTTAAAGAAATGAGAGTTATTAGAAGGAACAGCATTGCAGAGCCTTAGAGTTGGAGAAAGAAGTCTAGGAGAGACTATTTAGGACTGTTTAGCGGGTGGCATGAACCGTGAAAAACTTACCCCATGACTCCCAGATCTTGATGGTCAAAAGAAACCTGAGTGTAGAATCCTACGTCAGTTGCAGTGAGGAAGGAGGGAGGGTTGGGGTGAGAGACCCAGAAGGGCTCTGCAAAGCAGGCTGCCCTTCCTGGATTTCTTGTCATCCACACAAGGCTTGGACAAGGTCAGATTTGGGCTGAGAGGCTCTGAGGTGGAGCGGGCTGGAGGAGTCGCTGCTGTGGCCCGAGACAAACTGTCAATTGCTCGTGTGACAAGAGTCCACTCACAAACAGGCCACAGAACCAAAGGTGCTATTTATTCCAAACTGTAGAAATCATGGCAACACTTCCTAGAAAGGTCACAGCAGACGTCACCTTTGTTTTTTGTGCCCACTCTCAGGGCAGGAGACATTAACAAGCCTGAAAAATAGGTTCACAGTAAAGTAGGAACCGGGGTTCTAGGTATCATGAGCAACACTGCTGTCTTCTGGGCTGGTGAGTGAGGGTACAACTGAAAAACTGAGAAAAGAAGCTGCTGAAGTTGCTTTTAGGAGAATCCTGTGGGGCTTGTCATTCCTTGGTTGCACAATTGGTTTTTAGCCATGTATGAGATGCGATTGAAAAGTACAGTGCATGTTCATGCTTTAAAAACATTTACCACAGCAAAAGACACATTGCCACGAATCCCCATCGGAGTATTCCCCCTCGCTGTAAACACACTTATCCAATAGTTCTCGCCACTTTGAGGCAGTTCGGGAAGTTCTCTTCTGTGTCTTTAGCGGTGCTGTTGTGGCTGCCTCAGTGTCCTGAATAGATTCCAGCTGTTTACCTTTCATAGTCATTTTGATTTGGGGGAAGAGCCAGAAGTCACCCAGGGCCAGATCTGGTGAACTGGGTGGAGGAGGACACACTGTATTAGTTTTACAAAACTGACTTTGTTGGATGCACTTGACCACGGCAGCATGCACCACATTTCTTTTTAATCACAACTGATACAGGCCCTCACGAAAGAGCACCTCCAGAGCTGCTTCAGAAGAGGCAAGAACAATGGGATAAATATGTTAAAAGTGAGGGGAGTGTTTTGAAGGGAATTAATGGCAATGCATCTTTTACTGTGATAAATTTTTAAAAAATAAGCATTCACCGTGTACTTTGATCTTTATACTTGTGAATATTTTGTCAGCATATCCCACTGAGAGGGGGATGGAACTAATCTAGGTATCAGAAAACCCAAGGTCCAAAGCTACTTTTATCATTCATTTGCACTGTGAGCTCCAGCACTTCAGCTCCCTGACTTTCCATATCCGCTTACAAAATGATTTTCTTTGAGATTACATCTGACTGATATCCTAGGAAACAAAGAGGACTCTGGTGTTGGGGCCTATTTAGGACCCAGTTTTGGAAGCGTATAGGTGGCATCAAATAAGATTCCAATTAAGAAAAACTGCATGCTGTTTTCTTTGAGTTTGGGGTTGAGACCAAAATAAAGTTTTAAAATAACATGAAGTAGACGCTTGTCCCTAAGGTAGGACAAGCAGGACAGATGCTCTAACAGTGTGGCTTTGGTAAACAAGAAATTTGGAAACATTAGCACAATACTGTAATAGAGTGAAATGACTATTTGAGTTTTCTTTTTTTTTTTTCTTCTTGAAGAGTAGAAAGTAGTTTACATTAATAAACTCCTAAACTATGTGAGGTTTATACTGCAATCTTTATACATTATTGCCCTATTTCTTCCAGAACTTTTTTTAAAAAAGAGATAGTCATTATCTTTTGCAAAAATTTTTGTTTCCCATTCTTTGTTCTATTTCTACTTCATGCATTTTTTGACTAAAGTAGAAACAAATATGAAAATTCAAATGAGGCACTTATAAATTATAACTGAGTTGTTAGGATACAGTCATGAATGTAAGATTGTATACAAGTAGCTATTTTATACAATTGCATTATTAAGCTAATTAGTACTAAAATGATAATGGTATTAGAATCTCAGATCACCCTTATTGGTCATTTGTGGTTTATCAGTCTCATTCTCTCACTGAAACCTAATTTCCATTGAACTAATAATATAAATGTCATCCTTCTTTTAGTTACTGGTTCCATCTCTCCTCATTTAGGGCTTTCTCCTTCTGAATGTACTCCTCATCACTAAAATTTACTGTTGAATGTTTTTGCTTCCCAGATGAGTATGCTCAAGATGTCCCTGCAACATACAAGGGGAGCGGGGAGAGAGAACAGCAGAGATCTCCAGGCTTGGGTGAAGGCAAATTGGTGTGGAGTTTATTGTGCCTGGGTGCAGGCAGGCAGAGAGTGAGAAAGCCATCTGCCCCGAACAAAGAGAAGTGGGCCTCTTTTATAGGGATGGAAAGAAGGCAGGGGACATTAGGAAGATTTTAATAAACATCTGTGGTCAGAGTTCTCTGGCTGTCTTATACCTCAGCGGGCAAAGTCCTTAAAGTGTCCGGCGTAAATTTTTGGGTGTCTCCAGATGTCCCCAGATGTCCCAGGACCTGCAAAATTCCCTGTCCTATCTTATCTTCTTTACAGCATCCTGTGCTGGCTGATCAGTTTTCTGCTGACAGGACTGTTTCTGCTGGCAAGCAGGTTGGGGTTGGGGGAGTCGGGTCCGATTCGAGACTTGCAGTCTGACTCTCAAAACAGTCGAGTCCTGTCTGCCCACTGCCGGGTCAGTCTTTCCTTCTGTTTCTTTTTCTCCCCTGACCTCTAGCTTTCCTGTCCCCTCTTGGTCTCCCTTCCCTCCTGTTTCTCCTCCCACAATCTCACACTTTCTCCTCCCACAATCTCACCCTTTCTCTCATTTGTTGGTCTAGTACTTTTGGAGAGCAGGCTTCCCCTCTGTTGTCTAGAACGGAAATGAGTTTTGGCAAACATGAGTACGCTGGAAGGCTGGGCTTTGTCCTTATGGCATTTTCTGTGTGGTAAAGATGACAGACATTTAGGAACCATGCGGCGGACTGTCCTGACTTTTCTCCACCTCCGATCCATTGCAGTTGGGTTGGAAACTTCAGTGTAGCCACCAGGGAGCTCTCAGACTGAATGACTGCTTTGTAGATTTTTACCATCTCATTCTTCTATAAATGTCCTCGTTCTAGGTTTTTGTCTCTATTCTTCACTAGCTTGCTTATTTTATCCTCCAGACTTTCTTGGCTTCTTTTTCTGTATCACTGAAATGGGTGGTATTTTTGTACTGTCTGTCCTTGACCCCTTTTTTGTATTATTCTGCTGTCCTCAGGCAAATCTACTTCATGCATTCAGCCAGCACCTCTAGACCTGTAGTTACACAGCCTTCCCTCACTGTCGCTATCTTTTGAATGGCTCCTGGGACCCAGCTTCCTCTGTTCAGCTGTCTGGTGGGCATTCATATGCTCTCTCAGACTCAGTAGGTCCTACACTGAGTTTATTTCCTACCAAACTGGTGGCTCCTTTTATATCTCCACCTTTGTTTGGAGAATGACCATACCTAATTGCCATGTTCACCTGTTGAAATGAAAGCAGGATTTTCAAGAACTGGCTTGCATAGGTAAGATTTGAATTGAAATTTAAATGACAAAAAAGGAGCTGGTCACCATATTTGGGGGACAGAGTATTTGTATTCCAGGTAGGACAACAGGAAGTAAAGTCCTAGAGGTAGAGCATGGATTTTGAGGAGTCCCTGGAAGAGCAGCAGTCCAGCGTGGCGTGGGGACAGGAGGAAAAGAGGGAAGCAGTGCCGAAGGGTTCAGAAGTCGGTGGGAGCTCCATCACCATGTGGCAGGGAGTAGAGAAGGGTAAATTTTATTTCAAGCCAGAATGGAGCGTGGAAGGGAATGTTATCTAGGTACATAGGAATAAGGTGAAAGTGAACCCTATAGGTTGACAGGATGGATCCTCAAAGGGTGAAGTGGGAAAGGCAGGGCAGATGTAAAGGCAGTTTGCAAAATCTGTAAGGCTTTTACGTTTTGTGGTGTGCTCGGTAGGGGACTGTGGAAAGCTTAAGGGCGAATTGTGTTGTTTCAGAAGCACAGTTTTGGCAGAATTAAGGAGGATAAACTGGCCAAACATAAAGCTTTTAGAGAAAGATGGAGGTTGCAAAGAGACAATATCAGTCAGTGTCTACAGAGGGAAAAAGGATTTGTGAAAGATTAATATGGAATGGAGTCAACGGAATATACAGAAAAAGGCATTATTGGGGTAGCCTTGCATTAATCAGATCTGTTTCCCTGGTTTCAACTCTACTTTTATAAAAAGACCTACCTGAAGGTATTAATATACTGTCTATACCAGTAAGTACTACATAGTCTATGTTTTAATTTCATACCACAAGATGTCTTTTTACTTATCTCACATTACTATGTTATTTTGAAAAGCTACGCAAGATTAATTTAAATTCGTGTAACATCCCAGAAATAATTCTGTAAGTTAACTATTATTTACTATAGACACAAATATATAAATGCTGTCTTGATGTCAAGATAGTTTATCATCTAATTTTTTAAGCTAAAAGTTAAGAGTAAGAACTCAATCAAGGTTTTGTTGTCTTGACTCAAATGGAATTATTTCTCTTTAAATGTGTCACAGCCAAAGATTCAAGGAAGAATTCTTTGTTCATGCTGGGGAAACACCATTAAAATACCTCTGTAACCCTCTAGCCAACTTTTTTGCTGTGGATTACTCAGATAGGAACACAAAGATCCTGAATTGTTTAAGTTTTAACTCTCTAGTCCTTTTGAGGCTAAGACACTAACGCACTGCCTGTTCTAACACTGTAGTTCCACAGTGTGGCTTTTCTATAATCAAATAAAGGATAATAGGCCAAAAAAATTACATAAAACAGTATATACTTTTTATTACAAAAATCACTCAGGGCTGGTTCGGCAGCACATATACTAAAATTGGAACAATACATAGAAGATTAACATGTCCCCTGCACAAGGGTGATATGCAAATTCATGAAGCATTTCCTATTTAAAAAAACGAACTCACAAAAGTCACACAACTGTGGGTTGTCATTTCACTGTGTTGGGAAGAATGTTTTCTATTATATATTTTGCTCATCAGTAAAAGGATGAATGTTTCATGATGCCTTTGAAGTGCAAGCAAAAATGACAGGCTGGAAGAGGAATATCTTGCAGCTCCAGAGCAAAGCAGTCTTGGTGTGTGTTTCAGGGCAGTGTTTCTCATAGTCTGTAGGTGTTATGAGCTGTATCCAGATATCCCCCCAAGTCTCATGTCATCACAGGCGGGACTTCTCAGAGGCAGCTGGATCTAGAGTGTGTGATGCTGAGAGTGTGGCCATGAGGCAGGGACTGAGTCATGGTGCAAAGCTCAGATTAGGGGTGCTAGGATTAAGTGGGTAGAATTTAGGGGAAAGAGGGCGGCTGTGCTTACTCATCACTTGCTCCTTCACTTCTTTGCTGCCTTCCTGCCTTCTGCCCATTATGAACTGTTTCTCTTCTGCCATGTCCCCCTGCCATGTGCCATCCTGCCTTGGAGGTAGCCAATTATGAACCGAAACCTCTGCAAACTGTGATCCAAAATACACCTTTCCTCCTTTAACTGTGGGCACTGGCTATTTTGTCACAGCAACAAGATAATAGCTAAAGCAGTAAGTCTGTCCTTTTACCCACAGACAGCCTTAGCATAGGAGCCAGTGCACTACGGGAGCGGCACCATCAGGGCCACAGGCAGAGGCCTGGGGCATGGCTCAGGGGCAGAGTGCTTGGCTTGCTGTCTGGAGTTGCATATCCAGCTCTGCAAGCAACAACAACCCTCTCAATATGTCAATATATTGATATAGATAGATATGATATGCAATGATATATATATATGCATAAGAAACTTTCTATGTATTTTAAAGTGCTCAGTGACAGTTTGGAGATAACTCTTTGGGATCAGTCATACTGCTGGAACTCTTGTACTTTGTTAACATTAACAAAATAGAATCACCATGCATGGGTGCAACTCAGTGGAAGAGGCCTTGCCTAGCATGTGTGAGGCTTGGGGTTCAATCCCTGCAAAAGGAAAAAAGAAAAAATTGCTCATAATTCAGGATCTCAACCATGTTAAAAATAGACATTTTCCAAATAAACATTAAGCAACTAAAAAGTTCCAGTGTTTTTTAAATACAGCAACACAAGTGACAGAAATATAACACTGAGGAGCACAGTGACTAACAACTGCTCAAGAAAGTGAAGAATTAGAGTATTTTCCACATAATAACAGTATTGAATGAGGTGTCATGCTGAAAACACATTAGGAAATTTAAAAAGTTGGTGGATTTGCAATGGCTATATTTGGTATAGGGCATTATATAATCACTGTTCTAACTTTAACAAACCTACATCACAGCCAGCATTAGAGTATACTAGTCACTTCATGAATGTTTGAATTAATGTGAAAATGGCAAATTACATGCCAATTTTTAAATTTATAATCTTACATGAAAAAAAAAGATTCTCTGATTTTGTTCAAAAGGCAATCTTGATATGAGATACATGTCAAAATACATTTGATCTGCATGGCTTGTGGACTGTATTTACAAATCTGCTTTTTACTAAAGTATATTTGTATCTCCCCAAAATTTAGATATATAGTGGCAAAAAAATTTGGGATTGTCTAAAGTGCATAGTTTGATAAATTCTGGGAAGACAGCAGAACAATAAGCAGCAAAATAAAAAGCCTCTCTGAAACAGCCCAGATGCTGGAATATAGCATTCTGGAGAAGACCAGAAGGAAAGAAATGAATCCTCTTAAGCCAGGAAGAAACTAAAGTAGAGCAAAAAAAGAAAGAAAGAAAAGAAAGACAAACAGATGGCAGTAGCCAGATGCACTCTGATTGGGGCCAGTCCCACTGTGTGTGAAGTGCCACCGGAATCTGGAGACGCACGGTCACAGTGAAGTTGGGGGTTGGCAAGCCTAAAGTCTTGGCAGGGAAACACAGTCACGGAGGGGAGCAGTGGACCACAGAACTGGAGAAGAGCTCTGGCTTGTGGTGAGTGTGGGGGAGTCAGTCCTCCCACCAGAGTGGGCGATTGGCTGGGTGCCATTTTGGAGTCCAGCAGGATAAGCCTGGAACCAGAACTGCAGCCGACTTCACTCAATCACTCCTAGTACAGAGCAAATTGGTGAAAATTGCTTGCACTGATTCTTGTCCCTGTATGTGATCCAATAACCAAGGCTGAGGTTTCCCTAATCAGCCCGGACCATGCAGCACACACTAACATGAAGACTCTCAGTGGTTAACCAGCTCAGAAGGGAGGGGCCAGCCTGCCCTACCCCTGCTTATACTCCAGGGTTCACCAGCAGATTAGGGAAAGTAGCAATCCTCAGCCATCACACTTCAGAGTAATTATAACCAATACAGGAAGTGCCTGGGACCCCACTATCCACTTGGTCTGGAAGAAACCAGGAACATGATAAGAGGAAAAAACAAAAGGCAGTCTCCAGCCTCCAACCTAAGCAGTACTGGTCCAGGAGAGGTAAACACAGAAGAGATTGGGAGTTGCACACCTGCAGTTTCTGAAGCAACAGCATCTGACATAAAGAAACAACTTCATGAAACTATAAAAGAACTTAAAAATAGAAATATTAATACAAGTAAAAGATGTAAGAAAAATAATAAAAGAAATGTTAAGCACCTCTCAAGAAGACACAGATGGAAGAATTAAAGGAGCACAGAAAAAGGAAGGAAACCTTTGATGAAGAATATAAGAAAAATTTAGAATACATGAAACATTCAAAAAGATTACCAGGAAATTAAAAACTCCTTTGAAAGCTGGCAAAACTTCTTGAAAGAAAATAAAGATAGACTATCAAACCTTGAAGACAGGTTTGCAAATTGCAATTGTGAAAGGAAAGAGCTCTTAAAAATTAACAAGGAACCAGGAAGTAACAATACAAAGGCTAGAAGATGACAAGAGGATCTATAACTTACGAATAAAAAATGTGAGTAAAGAAGAAGGGATAAACACAAATGAAATACAAAGGCTATTTACAGAAATAAAGAAAAATTCCCAAGCATAGGAAAAGGAAATGATATTCAGATATATGAGGCATACAGAACTTTAGCCAGCTATAACCAAAACAGATCTATACCCAGACATATAATAATCAAGATTCCAGAAATCCAACACAAGAACAGAATATTAAAAGCTGTCAGAGAAAAGAAACAGATCACCTATAAAGGAACACCCATCAGAATCACGACAGACTTCTCAACATAAACCATCAAATCAAGAAGAGGCAAGGGGGAAATAGTCCAAGCCCTGAAAGAAAATAACCTCCAATCCAGATGATGTACCTTGAACAACTATCTCTCAAAATTAATGGAGAAACAAGATGCTTCCCTGACGAAGAGGAACTGGGAGAGTTCATAACCACGAACCCAACCCTACAAAAAATACTGAAGGACATTCTAGAGAGAGAAGAAAGACTATGGCTTCAGGAACAGTGGCAGAGGGGGCTCACTGAATGGGGCAAACAGTGGAATGAAGGGGAAAAGTAGACAACCAATGACAGAAAAATAGCATGGCAGAGATGAGGCAGAGAAGACTGGCTATAATCTCTAACACAGATGGCTTGATACACTAACAAAAAGAAACACAGACAGAGTGGATCAGGAGATACGGTCCATCAAGATTCTCTATATAAGAAATATAATTAACTTGCAAGAGGATTTATGGGCTGAAAGTCAAAGAAGAGAAAATAATTTTCTATGTGACATGGAACCAGAAAAAAGTGGGAGTAGCTCGCCCACCAGCTGCAGATTGGTTGGACAGACATAACACTTTTATACAATGGAGAACTACTCAGCTATAAGGAAGGAAAACCTTGAGCCTCTTGTAGGTAAATGGATACAACTTGAGATCATGCTCAGGGGTAAAAAGGTTCAGAACCACTTAGGTAAGTAGCGGGTTGCCTCCCTAATCTAAAAGCTAAAGGAGTTAGTGGGATACCAAATTTACAATGCACCCTGTGAAAATGAAAGGGGAGGAATTGTCTAAAAAGGGAAGGCAGAGGACACTGTTAATCTTGTGTCATGATTTGAAACCCATATTGTTTACACTGCTGTTTAGTTTGGTTATATTCTGTTCCAGTTTGTCTACTTGTACTAGATTTGATGGCATGGACAGCTATTCCAAAGACAACAGGATATATTATGGTAACCATTTTTGATTTTCTATTAACTTAATTTGAAGCCCTGTATTGCTTTCACTGTCTTGTTTTGACTGATTTTATTTGAATATTTTGTTTGATCACTGTCTTGTTTTGATTGATTTTATTCAAATCTGTTTTGATAGTATCAAGTCTGAGGGTTCAGGTAACTACTTTGAAGACAATAAGATTCATTATGATACCCCCCCAAAAATAAAGTGCATAGTTCCAGTTGACACTGCATAAAGTGTTGTTCATGTCTTCAGCTGTAGAAAAGTGATCTGCTTGTATTCTATTTAATGTCATGTTTTTTTCACATTTTTGTTAGTAATTTTTCTGGTTAAACTGGCCCCAGAGCACAGTGCTTAAAGCACTGCCCACTGTTCCTAAGTACAAGACTGATGTGTTTTGTGAGAAACAAAGACATGTTAGACATGCTTTCCTTAGGCAGTAGTTATGGTGTTGCTGGCTATGAGTTCAATGCTAATATATAAACCCTGCACATTAAATCAGGTGTCTTTAAACAGAAACATGCAGTAAACAAGGCAATGTAGTGATTAGTTAATGTAATATGGCTAGAGGCTTCGAGGAACCTAGTCTTGTATTTTTCCTAGGAATAATGGGATAGCATCTCCTAATGCAGTGTTTGTGAGGAGTTTGTGGAACATAATCATCTGGAATACTGAGAATCCCCTGGATTTACCAATGATGTGATGTGATGTGATGTGATGTCTGGGAATTGCTTATAATAATTTAGGGTAGCATAGGCAGCTGGATCTAGGCATAGATGAGGTAAATCAGCACTGAGCTGAAAGT